TCAGAATCATTTCTGTAACATACTTCATCCCTGTAATTAATGAAACCAATTTCTCTAGGTTATATTTGCCCAATTCCTTAGTAAACATCTTCCTTTGGTATTTACCTATATCTCTTTATCTCCTCTACCCCATTACCTTTGAAGGTCTTTAAAAAACTGCGCGGGGCTGGTGAGATGGCTCAGTGGTCTAAAGCATCTACTTAGAACAAGCTAAGCTAAGCAAAGCACAGGGACCACGGTTCAGTCCCCCAGCACCACATGCCAGCCAGCCTCTGCCCCCTGGTGGGCTGAGCTGGCCACACACACACACACACACACACACACACAATAAATAAATAAAATAAATAATAAATTATAAAAAAAAATAAAATAAAAAACTGCGCTGACAGGTTTGGTAGCACCCAGTTGTAATCCCAGTGCTAAAGAGGCTGAGACAGGAGGATTGTTGTGTGTTTGAGTCTTGTTTGGGGTACATAGAGGCGTTCAAGCCCAACCTGAACTACATAAGAGAGACCCTATGAATTTTTTTTTTTTTTTTTTTTAAATGGAGATTGAACTCAGAACCTTCTGCTTGCCAGGCAGGTTCTTACACCACTGAGCTATCTCCCTGGCCCTTTGTCTTTTCTGACAGTTGAGAGAAAACTACCTTGAAAATTGATTTCTGGCTGGAGAGAGAACTCTACAGCACACGTGCCTACCTGACAAGCATAAGGCTCTGAGTTTGATCCCCAGTACCAAAAAAGAAAAAGGAAAGAAAGTTGATTTCTGCCTGTTTATGTCAGTATGTATGGTCAGTGTGTTGGGCATGTTCCTCTCAGAAATCAAACACTAATGGTTTAAGATTAAAATACTATTTAGAGGGCCGGCAAGATAGCTCAGCTGTCTAAAGCGCCTGCTTAGGTAAGCACAGGGACCATGGTTCGATCCCCAGCACCACATGTCACACCAGCCCCACTCCTATGGTGGGCTGAGCCAGCCAGCCAGCCAGCCACACACACACACACACACACACACACACACACACACACAAATACTGCTTAGAAGTTATTTTTATGTATGTATATGGCCTATAACTCAGCTGTGGTCAAGACATATCAGAAAAGGGAACACTCAAAAACACAAATGTGGCTAGATGCACATTCTTACATATAATGACAAAATTAGTTATACACATATTTGATTACAAATATTGCATAGTTGAGAACAATAAATATGTGAAGGTTTACCTTGAATCTTAATCTTTCAGTTGGTATCAAGAATTGTGTTTGAGGGCCGGCCTGATAGCTCAGCAGACTAAAATGCCTGCTTAGGCAGAGCACAGCGGCCGGTGTGTGATCCCTGGTATGTCATGCTGGCCCTACCCCCATGTTGCACTGAGACAGTGATTGAGACTGAGCGTGGTGGCACATGCCTGTAATCCCAGCACTTGGGAGGCTGAAAACAGGAGAATCATTACGAGTTCCATCTATGTAACGAGAACTTATAGACCCTGTAGACCCTGTCCTAAATACAGGGGAAAAAATCGTTTGATATTCACAAATTATATATATATATATATATATATATATATATATTTGTTATTTTGAGACATAGAGTCTCACTGTGGTGATCAGGCTGGTCTTGAACTCACTTTGATCAGGCTGGCCTCAAACTTGGGGTGATCTCCCTGCTTCAGCCTCCTAACTATTGATATTACAGCAACCATACCCAGACCCCATAACAGAGAATATTAGAATCACACTTTTGAATTTTGTGTATGTATGCTTCTGTCTGCTGCTGGCTATCAAAACACCAGATTCTGTACAAGCTAAGCACATGCTGTTGTCACTGAACTACACTTCTGGCCCAGAGTCACACTTGGTGCATAGACTTTTCCCCTGAGGCTTCATTGTAGTTGCTGCACCAGTGACTTATGGAAAACGTTTGATTTTTTTGTTTCTGTAGCTTTTGGATTGACTACATTTTATTTATATTTGTTCTCTTTAAATTGTATTCATAAACCAGCAAGTTTTCTTTTGAACTTGCCTCTTTTAGTACTTGATAGTAATAATTAATTTGCATTTTGACCTGATCTATTCCATCAGATCTATTAAGTTCATTAGGCAAGCATATTCTGCCTTCTAGATTATTTTGAGCAACTGTTTTACAAAGTATTTGTTCATTATAAACTCTGGGTGACCATTTTTCCAGCCTATTAGTTTTCTCACTGTTTTTTAAATGTCCTATAGTTCTTTTCTTCTGCCATCACATCCCAAAACCTGTATGTATTTTATGTTTTTGATGTGGCAGCATCTTGTTTTTGGCATAAATTTCTGTAGCAGCTATTGTGCATCCAGACCATCCCCAGAATTTAGTGGTTTAAAAATAGTGGTTTAAATTGTGTTCTAATTTATCTGTAGGTGACCTTGGGGTTTGGCATTTTGCCAGTCTGTAAACTATACTAGGATAGAATTGCATTCTGTGTATTTTTCACCCCTCATAAACTGATGGCCCAGAGAGGACATGTTTTTATGGTGCTAAAAGAAGCAAGCTGACTTTCTTAAACATATTTCAAGTGTTTGCTTGGCATAAGCAAGTAACAAAGTAATCCCAAAGTCATGATTTGGAGAAGTATGCTTTATCTCTAGTTAGTATGACTTTACAGTTCTTCCTAGAAGCTTAGATAAAGATAATGGTGGACAAAACATATTTCAAAGCTGCAGTAATCAGAACAGTGCACTAATGGCATAAAGGTAGACATATAGACCAGTGATGTAGAATAGAGAGCTGGAAAGTAAACTCTCCAGATATGATCAAATAATCTTTGACAAATGGACTAATCCACTTCATAGGGACTCAGTCCAGAGATAGATAGTTTGGAAAAACTGAATGTCCACATGCAGAAGAATCAAGCTGAAACTTTAATGTGTATGTATAAAAATTAAAAATGGGTTAAATACCTAACATTATACATATATCTGTAAGAACCTGGATGTGATAATGCATGCCTGTAACCCCAGCAGAGAGGGAGGCTGAGGCAGAGAGCTCAGAAGTTTGAGATCTATCTAGGCAGTTTAGCAAGATTTGATCTCAAAATAAAAACTAAAATGGATTGGAATGCAGCTCACCCCTGGGTTTCATCCCTAGTACCACCACTAAAAGAAAAACAAAACAAAACTAAACTAAAGATATACTTGGCAATAATTTTTTGATGAGACCAAATGCAGAGGCATTAAACCCAGCAGTAGACAGGATAATGTAAAACCTAGAAACAAAGATATGGTAATGAGTATGTCAACCCACAGAGTAGGACATTATACTGTTTAATGGATGTAGAGTTGCAGAAAACTTCGGAATTTTCTGTTCATAACAGTGTGAACATATGTAACAGATATGGAGTTTGTGCATGTAAGTAAAATAGTAGGGTTTTCTTTTTTTTGGGGGGGGGTCTTTTTGAGACAGGATCTCACTATGCAGTTCAGGCTGGCCTTGAGCTCACTTTGTACCCTGGCTGGTCTTCAGCTGGCAATAACCCACCTGCCTCAGTCTCCCCAGTGCTGGGATTAGAGATGTGTACCACCATGTGTGGCCTGATTTCTGCTTTTCAAAGCTCAGGTCAAGTTTTAGATTCTCAATTTTGGGGGATCTGACCTTTTGAAGGCTTTCTTTATTCCCCACAGTCCTGCCACCATTTGTCATTGGTTGATTTCTTTGGTAGCTATTCTTTCTGGGGTGAGATGGAATCTCAGTGTTGTGTTATTTTAATTTTTTGTTTTTGGTAACAGGGATCAAGCTCAGGACCTTGTACTTGCCAGGCGGGTGTTATGCCACTGAGCTGTCTACCTGGCAGTAAACTGCATTTCTTTTTTTTTTTTTTTTTTTGCAGTACTGGGGATTGAACTCAGGATCCTGCACTTGCCATGCAGGCCCTTATTCTCCTGGTCTCTCCAGCCCTTGACATTTGTATTTGTTCATCTTGAGAAGTGTATATTCAGGCCGGGGAGATGGCTCAGTGGAATAAGTGCTTCCCTGAGAAGTGTATATTCATCTCAGATGCCCATTGTTTGATTTGGTCTTTGATTAATTATGGGGGCCTGTTTTTTTTTTTTTTTTT